GATAAAGGACGATGGAATATGACCCTTAGTTTTTAGTGTGGAGGTAGTCATAAGGTACTGGTATTTTACTTTCATATAAATGCAGTTTATATAGTTTATCTTTTCCAGCGAAAGCAGTCTGTGTTTGACATTTCGCATTAAAATCGTATTTTTATTCGAAAACATGGGTTTCCATACAATCCTAGTGTTCCAGACAATTGCCGAAAATACTGACGGTATTTATGGATTCCAAAAGCAGTTCAAGATGAATACAAGCAGACATTTTATCGGTATTGCATATTTGGAATACTTTGTCAATTTTAGTGTGACTTTATGTATCACACTTGGTATCTAAAACAAAGCGTTTAGCCGCAATCAACCATTTTTTCAAAAAGTAGAGGCAAGGGAACATTGAACCGATGTCCGCAATGCCGCTGAGCCTTTTAATCTTATTGTGCCTCACTCAGCGTAATTTACAGTACCAAGAGAAATCTTGGATTATGGACCAACTGGTACAGTTTCCTAACAAGTTACCGCGTCTTGTGACTCTAGAGCACATGAAATGTCGACCTTGCTCCTCTTCCGCATTGACTGCAATTAAGATCTCCATCACACAGCCATACTTTGTATAGATAATCTTTTAGGCTATTCATCCAACCGTTTTCAGAAGCGGTTCCGAGATGAAATCTATCTCCGGTAGCCGAGTTCGAATATTCTACTGCCTTGCCAATTATATGACTATCTCTTTATTGTGCTTTTAGTAATCCAGACAGATTCTGGATTATGGGATAGATCATTCCTTTCTTGCAAGCTCACGTATCCCTTCATTATCTTCGGTCCCTGAATGTCCGGACATCCTTACCAAAGTGTTTCGCCAATACGTACAGTTCATGTCGGCATTCCCAAATCGGTGTGGTTGTCACAAGTCACAAGTATTTCTGATACTATTAGGGTGGATTCTCAACTCACCAGTCCGTTATTCTCCACCTTTAGGGTAACAGTCCGTCAAATACAGCGAATGAGCTTCAAGTTATAATCAACAAATTTTAGCAACCAATAGCTACGAAATGTTAAAAACAAAATACTGTCAAAGTATGAGATGACAGCTTCTCATTGAAACATCACCAGCCTATTGAATATTAAGAAATTACATACAGTTTAGTCAAAATTTAAAAAAGTTTTCGATGTTTGAGTAAAATTCATGTTTTTACTCAATATTGTCGTTTATATTATTTTCTTCAATCGATATGCGATTTTACTAATTCAACATCACCTACCGTGTGTTTTTTCCTATAAATCTCCTGCAGATAGCCATTAAGCGCCTACTTGATGACAGGCTCTACCAAAAATTTCATAGGTATTGCTCGTTTCCAAACATTCATTCATTTACTTGCCGTTCATCAGTAACATTATAGCACCATCGATTGATATTCCCACAAAACCTCTCAGGGTTTTTGATATCCATACATCCATAAAGTCAAATATTGTTTGATTGTTCAGGAACTGAACGAATATCCACACTATATTTACAGCGATTAAGAAATACTCAAATGTGTCGTAAAGCTACCGGCAAACTTAGAACACGCAAAAAAATAGAATTTGCAATAACTTTCTTGTTTCACTGAGTAGGTTATATTTATATTAGACACTATAATCAAATTCAAGCGGATAACCAAATGGAAATGGTATTTACCATTTTGGCTTGGTATTTACCAATCCGTTCAAGCGATTGTAGTTATCAGTTTGGTTATAAGATCCGTGACGTCACGAATCAGCTGTTATATGTCATAGTTATCACCGCAAAATTGTGGTATTTACCCAACTCAAGAGTAGTTTTATATTTCTGGTTATTATTTGAAATGTGACAAGTTAGAATTTTGCCGGGTATTGGATATTGTTATTGTACTTCAGCTTCATTTTTGAGAAAATTGATACAGGCTGACTTCAGTTTTACCATAATGTGGAGCACCTTATTAGTTATACTCATTACGGTTGTTGGGGACACTTTAAATGTAGTTCCTATGCTTAACAAAGTATCCTGTGTAGCCATAAACCACAAGAATATTAAAATATGGCCATATAAACTCACTAGATGATATCCACCTGTATACGGTTTTGCTAATTTCTTTTATCATCATTTCTGCTGAATCAATAAATGTTTTCTTTGACATGCGGAAAAATTTAGAGAATTGAAAGTTATCATAGCTACAAAGCCATGGTTCCATCATTAAAAAAAAAAATCTGAAAAAAACATGTCTCCCATGAATATTATGAAAGGTTTCTTATTTAAACTTTCCATATACAGTTGTAGACGAAAAAGCACCTATTATTAAGTGATAATAAAAATAATCAGAGATTATATACGCGCTTTTCTAAAATAAACAACTTGCAACAAAACCGCGGTTAAAACCAACGCGTTCAAGCGATTCGAGTAACTGACGTCACCATCCCGTGTGTCATCTTGAACCATATTATAACCGTGGTACATAATACGGAAATTTTGGTTATTCGCTTGGATTTGATTTATTTGAATAACAGCTGATTATTACATTTTAAAACTTCCCAACGAGTGACATGTGTGGGATCCGTCAACCCTTGGTCCCAGTGGAGCAAGCTCCGCCAACTGTTGAAATATATATATGCTTTATAAGCCTAAAAATGCAAATGAAAATTTAAAATTATTTCCATGACGCCGAAAAATAGCTCCGTTGGTACCTCGGGTTATACATCTTGACAGTAGGGATGTTCGATACGATCCTATATTTAGAAGGACCGATACTTTTGCTTCCCATACCCGATATTTTGGATCGATATTTTTATTACGACACTTGGGTGTATCGATACATTTCAAGAGTATCATCTTTCGATCCGGACTGTGTCAAAAAGAATGACTAACTTCAGATTACTTTTCGTAAAATAATTTAAATATTTGTATACTTGCCGAAAAGGAGCTGAAACCAAAAATAAAGCTAAAAGTCTTCATAGTTTCATGCCTCATATCAATCATACATATGCATACACAGTCAGGCACATCGGGCACATGAGAGGCGTAGATTTGGGTTGCCTATGATTACGAACGCACATCCTCATCCCTTACTCCGCTTGCCCTGAATTGATTTTTGTGCATAAAAAAGGTACAGACTGGTAGATGACCGTCATTAGCTCACCACCGCACAAGCAATAAAGAAACCGAAACCTGTCTGTTTTCAAAATAAATATTTAATTAAAATGAGAGGTGAGTTCATGAGTTTAGGGGCAAAACAGAAAAATATTCACAAGCCTATAAGCAAGAATCGAAAAAGGAGTTTCCAGAAGGGTTGCAAAGTACTTACTTTGAAGGAGCTACCAGTATGCACATTGTAGAAGTTGTAATATAGAACTCTGTCCTCAAAAAACATGTTGTGTGCGCGTCACATACAATAACAGACGTTTTTCATGACTCAAAGGACCTTGATCTACCACTGATCTTGGGACGGCATTTACCTTATACCGAATTCAACGACACTATTTACCGATTCCGTTTTTTTGCCGGTTCGGCAACACTGCAGATGTGTTTAAAAGCAATTTATATCACAGACGTGCTATTATATTAGAAATAACAAGAAAATTTAACAATGTTTGGAGATATATTTTCATAAATAGGTATTTTTGATTTTGACTTATAATATCCAGACGATGAATAATAGGTGGATGCGGATACTTTTACAAATATCGATGTTTTAGAACCCAGAAATGCAGAATGTGCTGTTTGTTTGTTTACATTTGGTGTGGATTTCTAGATCATAAATTGGCAAAAATTGTTGTTGATGTAACAAAAGATGATGAACCAGTTGGAATACGTTTTATATCATTTTCTTTTGCAAAATTACAAAAATCGGTACATGTATACATGTACGTATTATATACAATACTCTGTACGTGATATACAGACAAAACTAGATTGCCATGCATGAACTGTCATCAAAAACAGTGAAAACATCCTACTAAATATAATAGCTAGAAAATCGAACTATTATTTCTCTCATTTTCATTGGTCCATTTAAATAACTGACCGTCTTTTGTGAAATGATAAGAATTTGAAATTCTATGAAAGTTATCCTAATTCTAAAGCACAAAGACATAATATTACATCTATAATGTACCCTATTTATAAGGCAACCCTATTTTCACGACTTTATTCAACATTTCAATAGAAATCACTGATATTCAGAGAGCTTTGACAGCTTCCGTAAAATTGCATTTCGTTAAGGTCTTTTCCTATTGGTCCAACTGATCTCAAATATTAATGTTGGTGAAATTGGCCCGAAATCTGTTTTTCCATATTACGCATACCTGGCTTTTTATAATTTTTCAATCATATACATTAATGAACTTTTGTTGTTTTCTATTTCTCTAAAATTTTAAACAAAAGAGCCGTTTATCTAGTTATTGAACATACATTCCCTTTAACTCTAAGATTCTCAATTTCCCTTCTACGGAAGACGGTTCAGTATTGGAATCCAGTCCGAGTTGGTTACCGATTATCCAACTGTGTTTTGTGTGTCGATTTTTTCTAATATCCAAAAACAATTAAAAAAAGACGAATTTCTGCCAAAAAACTACTAAACTACATCCAAAAATAAGTGTTTACACTCGCCTAAGATAATGACAGTAAATTATATATGCGTAATCTCAATGGATGAGTGGATACCAGTCTACCAGTTATTTTGTCATTAAGCTTCCGTATTTATGAAAGATCGATATTATATTTATAGTTATCAGTATCAATGATGATCTAATAAGTAATTATAAAATAGGGGAAACTTGTCATTGGAGAGTAGTACAATAATAATAATAATGAAAGAAATTGCATTAATAGTTTATCACATTTAAGAAAAAAAAATGTCTGCTTGGATTTAGCATTAAAAATCCTATGGTTAGTGTTAATGAGAAGCTTTATTCATTTATTATAATTATAAAAAATATAGGTAATTTAAAAATTAAAGTTAATTTTAAATTTTCTTCATCTGCAGAATCGTCACTCGAAAACATTTCTGGGTCATAAATCGGTTCATCATCTGAAAAAAAAATCAAACATAACTGATTCTATGACAACGCATGCGACAAAACGAACTAAGAAAAATACAAACCTTCGTTATTGGCGCTGTTTTCTGGAGTTTGGCCAGTTTTAATTGCTTCCAAAACCGTTTGTGGCAAACCATTTAAATTCATACTTTTCATCTCTTATAGTCCAACCGTTCTTCCAGGCAACAAAAATATTGGAGTTTTCAGATGTGCGTTACGCCAGATACTTGTTATGTGTTGCGTCCGCAAAAGATGTTTGTGAAGTTCAGCCTTAGGCGGCGTCCTAATTGGCAGCGATCGTACGATGGCGCGATGCGTTCTCGTCGTGCGACGAGTTCAAACATACAGATATCTTCAAGAGTGTCCTATTTGGCACATGAAATGCTTAATAACGATCGTACGATGAGTTTGATCGTGCGATCATGAAAATCCCCGCGCGAACACAGCAACGCGAGTGGTACGGGGGGCACGGGACGAGAGGGGCGAGGAGGGCCCAACACTAGTGGTGTTGGTTATCGTTACTTTCGAGTACTCGTTACTAATCGTTACTCTTCTATAAAGTAATCGTTTATTGTATTCGTTACTTTGATTACCATGAGTAGTATGAGTATAACGATTTCGCAATGTGCGTCGTGTGATTAATGTCGAATTTAAGCAAGTTGAATTTAACCGAATCTTGTAAGAAAATAGACGACCTTAAAATTTGCAAAATGTTATAAGCATAGTTTATTCAAGACTATCGTGTTTAATGCAAACATTGTATCTTCAAACTGTATGCTTCTCGAGATGAGTTATCATAGGATGGAGTGTCATATGACTCATATGAGCCTACAAACTGAAAATACTTTGTATTTACTAGAAATACTTAAAAACATGCCTTTTAGTCAGAAAGATGATCAGTATATGGGCTTAAGGAAATTCGAAATGGCATGTGACTTTTCGAAGCATTTCAATTAAGCATAATATACCAGTATAAAAATTCTACGTTGAGCTTGGTCTACACATACTATTGGTGGTCATACTGAATTATATTTTTTTTAGCAAAACAGTGCATGGAAACACGAGTCAAATTAAAATAACTTTTATTATTGTGGTTTTGCTGAACGGTGGTGTAACCTTGTTGTGGCTTTTCTGCCTCATAATACTGCCGAACTTTGATCCGATCCAATCGACTACTTATTCCTTTTCAGGTTCCCAAGATCACAACAATAAAAGCGAATTTGTGTCACGGTGTAAATAGGTAAACTTCAGATTTAAAAACAATTACCAAATTCTATGTTCGCCAATAAAAAAAAATTTGTTTCCAGGTTTCCATCTGAATGTGGAATGTCTGGCAACCCTGGTGCATGAGCGGCAGTGCTACAGTCTAACCAGCGTTACCACTCAACGATCAACGATTGTACAGGTACCGGGTAGGGATACGGAAAACAGATTAATCAAAGTAATCATTTCGTGCTCGGATTGGTACTCGTTACTTCGGGTATCTATGAGTAACGAGTACTCGAGTTTCGCATGATTACTTTTTCAACACCACTACCCAACACCAGTGACCTCAGACTAAAAATATAAATAGACAAATAATTCCGTACAAAATATCGTCGTCAACATAACTGTATTTACGGTAAACAAATATAAGCGACGCTGCCACTTCTCCAGACTGAAAAATCTATTGAAAATGGAATGAGATATTGGTGTGCACTCCGCCCGAAATGAAGGTGGACTTAAATAAGGTGTGGACGCTCCGGTCGATCGTGGGTCGATCAAACAACTGCTCCTAGGCAGTTGTCAATGTCATTTTAAATTTTAAAAATTTATTTTTTCTTTTCGTGTTTGTTTATACTCGCAAAAACGGTCACAGAGGTGGCCGACACGCCATAAATTCAATTCAAAACGGATGCAGGTTCATGTTGGGTAATTCATAGCGAACATTACATATAATATTTTGCCCAGTCAGTTGTTTGACTGGATTTGTTCCACCTTGGACGAAACTTGCTCTCATTCGAAAGTAGCACATTTCTACCGACTTTTTGCCGAACGTGGCAACGGTGTTCAACGGCAAGTGGTGGATGCGTACACAGAATTTACAAACATCTGGTGTTTGTTGTTGTGCACAGTGAATTTGTTGCGAGTATTCAAAAATGTTTTCAGGTTGTTTTAGCGGCAATTATAGCATTGTTATCATTGATAGACAATTTTCAAAGACAATGGGACGTCGGAAGTGCATTCTTTGTGGAGTTAGCAGTGAAAAAACTGAGGCAACCTTCCACAGGTGAGTTAGAGGTTAGAGGAGGACAAGGGCGTAGCGCATGGGGATGCGTTGTGATTTTTAGTATTAAGAAATAGACATTTTATAGTTATTGGTTGTTTTTACACTGTATGTGTGGTGATTTTAAAAAAATACTCTTCTGTTAGACACGTTTTTGATCTTTCAGGTTTCCTAGTGATAAGAAAAAACAAGAAGAATCTCCAATGGGTGAATGAAAAGATGAAAGTTAAACTTGGCGTCCAGACTTTGAGCAAGAGTGTTGCAGAAGCATTGGACTTTTTGAACAAAGATCTGGCTATGGCTGACTTCAAGGATTCAGAAGCTACAACATATTTTTGTAGTATCTAAACAATTTATTTGATATTTTTAATTCAAGGAATAGGATGTCAAAAAAACCTTATGAGAAACCGTTGTCACCTACTACTAAACAATATTTCAATTTCTTAGAAGAAGCGAAGGATTATTTGAAATCGTTAAAATTAGGAGACACTAGAGTTATACTTTCTAGAAGAAAATTAGGATTTTTGGGATTCATAATTTCAATAAACAGCCTGTATGAATATAGAGTCAAAGAAACCAAAGAGCTGAAGTACCTTCTCACATATAAGTTATCTCAAGATCATTTGGAAATTTTCTTCAGTTGTATAAGAAGCAAAGGAGGATACAGCAATAGTCCTACCTCAAAGCAGTTTCAGAATATTTTAAAAAAAATATTACTTCATTCTGAAATAAGTGGCAATGAAGCATCCAATGTGGTGGCATTAGATAGTACATCCATTTTGCACTGTTCATCATCATCTTTAGAGATCAAAATTAGTGAGGATATGACCTCATCATCAAACAGTATAGAGGAAGATGAAGATTTTATACAATTTAAAAACTTTCTTCGAATAAGTCCTTGGTAGCTTAAACTGTATTTGAAGATGTTGTTGCATATGTTGCAGGTTTTGTTGTGAAGAGGCTAAAAAAGTCTATAAAATGCCAGAGTTGTTTAGATTTGTTAGAAACTTCAGGAGAGTCTATATCGAAATTATAAATAAGAAAAACGTATGGAAAATTAGTTAAAGCCTCCGCTTTTGTAATAAATGTGTGTAAATATGAAGAACATTGCTTTAGGTTATATAAGGAAAGGTTAGAAGTTGGCAAAAAAAATATGACAAGAGCTTCACAAATATTACCAAATTATACATTGCAAAATTTACCTCTTGGATTCGGAAATGTGTTTAAGGACCATGTATTCGAAGATGAACCTTTAAGTAATCATTTTCCATTGCTCTGTAAACAAGTTTTAGAACAATATTTTACCATTAAGTTGTACCATTATACCTCTAACTTGAATGCCCCTTCAAAACGTGTACGATCATTACTCACAAAAAGTATATTATTTCAAAATCAATAAAACCTGATAATTACAAAAAAATAAAAAGCAAAATTATAAAATGAATTATAAATAATGACTTAGGGAGAGTGACAAGTCCAAAGGAATTGTTTTACTGAAATATGCACTAAATCTCCAAACATGGATTGACTACTATAAAATAATGTATAAACCTACCCCCAATGTTGACTTTAGCTTTTTAGATGTTTTACAACCATGTCTGGATCAGCATATATCAATACAAGAAGTTTTTGACGCGCTAAATGGCTAAAATGACTATCAGAGTCTACAGAGTACACTAAATCCCCAAGTATACCGTTATGTATAAAACGATTTATAATCCAACTTAAGCTCCACAATAAATAGTCTCAAAATCTTCCTAAACAATATTTCATACAGGGTTGACCAAACAATATGTAATACTCGAAAGACCGAATCTTTAGGACATCTCCTCCTGGAATGTCCATTATACAAACATTGAGAGAGCATATTCTGTCAGATCGTTTGAACCAAATCTGTGTCTTTGCTTGCCTAAATAAAACGAATGAGTTGAATTTATGATACAAACTTTTTAAATACTTTAGGGAATTATTTAAGCTAAGATCTTTCTTAAGGAATGAATAGTTTTTTTGTGCCTACAATATCAAGACAGAATATTTAAATTGATGCGTCAATTATTTATTCTTTTTCTGTTTGTTTATATATTTTTTTATATTCAACTTTTGATCATGGTTACTATTTTTTTTTGTATTCATACTCTGGACAGGAAAGTTTCTACACAATTCTTATTATTTACATAATACTCTCTCTCTTGTTTATATACCTTTGTACTAGGTATTATGAAACAATAAACCTGATAATTAAGTTCCAATAATAAAACCTTGTTTACTTCTCTGTGTTTATTCTTTTCACTGCCATGGAAGGTGATACTGGGTGTATTAACCAGAACACCATTACAAAAAAATCACCTACGCCACTGGTGGAATCAGCTGTGGTCTGCACATACACAGCTTATTGTTTGTATTTGTTTTGAATTGGGTTTGTTTGTCTTCATGCATTACAGTGCCGTAAGAATGGTAAGTCTATTTAATATTTTTAGTCTGAGCCAGTGACACACAGCACTCGACTCGCTCGCGGCCGGACGGCATTTTCGCATTTTGTGTTTCCATTGTTTGTGTGAAGCGTTTGGCTATTCTATTACATACAAGATGACATTCGAAGAAGATTTAATTAACCAAGTACGTTTACATCCTGTTGTTTGGAATAAGAAGAGTGAGGACTATAAAAACAGGTTGAAAAGTGAAAAAGCATGGGATATAATTGCGAGGAACGTAAATAAAACAAGTAAGTAGATAGTAATGTAAGCTTAGTTTTAATCGGAACCAGAGTTAATAGCGAGAGGTATAATACAATATAGAAACATTAATTAAGATTCATGTCTGAAAAATTAGTGGTGAATAGTTCTCTAGCGTTAATTGCTGTTATTGTAGCACGATTATTAACTCTATTACGTGGAAGTCTTTCAAAATTGTAATTGAATTGATTTGTTGTCATAGATCAGTGCGGTTCTCTTGCATCTCTGTGTATTACAATATCGTGCAACAGACAGACAGCCTTCACAATTTTAATTGCATTATCAATAGATGTTTCGATGCTTTTTAAAAGAATTCTAAATTTACTAGCAGTGATTCCAAAGGTACATTCTATCCCTACCCTTGTAGTAGACAATTTGTAATTAAATCTTGATTTATCTGCATTCTCTGTTGCTTGTTGTCTTGGATTAGGCCTCATTAAGATCGTCCCCTAAAAATACGTATGGTGCCACAATATTACTATTAGGTAATCGTTCCTCAGGTGGTAATTGAATATTTCCACTGTTAAGTTCTTGAAAAAAATGAGAATTGCTGAGAACGCCTCTATCACTATCTTTCCCGTATGCACCTACGTCAATGATGCGAAATGTGTTATCTGAATCGGAGACCGCTAATAAAACAATTGAGTAATATTGTTTGTAGTTAAAATACATGCTTCCAGAAAGTTGTGGCTTCACGACACGAATGTGTTTTTCGTCCAGATTTCCACAGCAATGTGGAAATTTATTTTTATTTGAAAATGAATTTGCTATTTCCTTAAAATCTTGGGTACTTGGAAATTTCATGTGTGTTTTGTTAAAATTATTCCAAATTGCACTGCAAACCTCCATCACGATACTTGCAATTGCGGTTTTTGAAATGCGAAATAGCACTGCTAACTTCCGAAAAGTTAAGTACCTGTAATTTATAACACGTTTAATTAAAAAATATTGTTTTTTATTACAGAAAAAGAAGTTAAAACTAGGTGGCGACACTTAAGGGACGTCTTTCTAAAAGAATTGAAGAAAGTTCGTAAACCATGCTCTGGAGATCCAGGAAGCCCAAATGAACAGGATTACTTGGGAAAGTGGACCTATTACCAAAATATTATTTTTAAAAGATGTTTCAATGCCTCGACTAACCGAATGTAATAGTGTTCATCAAGAAACTGGAAATAATGATAATGATGCCAGCCTACCAACCACTTCAAGATCAGAGCAGAATCTTCAGTGGCCTGATGAAGAAAATTCTACTGCATTGTCTAATAGATCCGATTTTGTAACTTCTGATGATGAACCACTGTCTACTAGTGCTTCGTCAATTACACAGAGATCGAGATATTTGTCCACAGAAGCTTTGGATAGTGTATCATAAACTGGGTCTCAACAAAGGAAACGCAAAGAAAATGATCCAAATCGAAGAAGACAAAATTAAAGTGTTTAAAGAGAAAGACAAAGAAGCTGAGGATGAAGATATCCTATTTTTGAAATCGCTTGCTCCATATTTTAAATATTTGAATCCAGTACAAAAATTAAGATTAAAAAGTAAATTACAGAATACAATAGCAGACGAAATTTCTCTAGCTATGCCATCGCCCCCTTCCAACTCTTCAGCTACTATGTCAATGTCAATCATACCCCCACCAGTGCACGCTCTAGCTATGCCATCACCCGCTTCCAACTCTTCAATGCCAATCATACCTCCCCAGTGCACGCATCCTCATCATTGACATCACCGACACAGGCCCGGCAATTCTACGAAACATGTATCGATGAGGAAAACTACACTAACTACTAAACTAGAATTTAAAATGCGACGTAATTTTGCTGGCATAAGTAGTGCTTTATGTACTCTGTTGCGCATTAAACCGACGTAATTACTACGTACAGAACGAAATGTACAAAATAAATATAATGAATACATATTTTTTTGTGTTTCATTTAAAAATATAAGACTATTTAGTGATATGGCGAGATTAAATCGGCCTACGTAACACATATAATATAAATAAAAAACTTACCTGATTGTTAATACCAATCTTTCTTCCACACTAATGGGTTTTTTAAAGTTGGTCACTCCTTTATTGCAATCGCTACGTATTCCATTGCAGATGTAGTCAAATGTTTCTTTTGACATGAACAAATAATTGTAAAAGTCTTCTTCGTTATTTCGTACATCAAAATAATGGTTGAAAAATTCACCGCGCAGATTCCTGGATCTATACAGTGTACTATGTGGTCTACGTTTCTTTTTTTCAATGTCATTTGCAATCTTCAAATCAATATTGCCCGACAGCAAAAACTGTGCCTCTCTGTAAAGAGCCATTATTAAAATGGCATGTGATGGTGCGATACCATCGTGCGACATCGCGTGATTTATTAGGACACCTGTTGGGTCATCGCACGACCACTTCGACGAAAAACGCATCGCGCGATCGTACGATCGATGCCAATTAGGACGCCGCCTTACACGATGGTAAATTAGACGCGTCATACTTCAGCAGAGTTTGCTGAAAAGGTTCATCGGTACTCTTCGACCTATAGGGTAAATGCGGGAGAGATGCCGCGGCAGGTGGTTGTAATTTCCCATAGGCTCGAGAGATGGAGCTGTTGCCGCAATATGTGGTAGATGATTACTGCAAAGTGACCGGTAGTTTGTAGTTTGTGATTTGTGCCATCGAAGCGATAGTCGACAAAATATCTGGGATTTTAAGAACCGTAAGTACACAATACGTGGTAAATATTTTAAGCATGATTTGGTTTAGGTGTATTACAAATCTTACACGTAGTATCTTGTGCCGTCATGGGTTTTGTTAGGACTGTAGCTCAGTATGGAGGTTGCTGTGTAAAAGTTAGGTTAATTTCGTTAACACTTCTAACAGACGCCGGCGTCTATCCCCACAAGAAGGATAGTCGTCGCTTTTGTTATCGGGAGAGAAGCCGCATTCGTTATCACTTGACTTTTGCACTTCTGACGCTTTTAATGAAAAAAGTGTTACAATAACAATTGAAAAAAATGAAAAAAGCTTTAATGTGGGAAAAGTGTAACAATAATTTTTTTTATATTCTTGTCTATAGATCATGCCTCGTAAGTACATACGATCAAATACAGCTCGACCAAGGGTCACCTGGTCGGATGAGCAACTAATGGAGGCTGTAGCAGTAAACCTCCAAATTTGGACAAGGAGGTTTACAGTTCCACGGTCCGTCATGTTAATCACTTGTCATATGTCGAGGCTTTATCTTTCCGTGCCGTCCCCCTCTCCACGTGTAGCGAAAGTAGGAGGTTAGAAACTGCATTCCGATTGTTTCACTAAAATGTCTTCTCACGTGTAATAATTTTTAATTTGTTCGGGTGGATTGATATTTTTAACATGTAACGAAGGTATCTGTCGTTTTCAACAAGCCCAATGTCCCCGTCCTTTTGTTTTTATACTGATTACAAGTTCTATCTTCTGTACGTTCGTTTTGAAACACCTTGTGGCTGCAACTTCAACGACGAGTAAGTTATTTGACAATTTAAATCTGTCCTTTTTTCTTTGCTAGCATCACAATTGTGTTTTCAGAAACCTGATGAAGGCTCCATAGAGAATGCCGAAAGCTTGATTTTATCGTCAAAAGAGTCAACTTAAGTCTAAAAAATTTGCCATTTGAAGTTGAGTCATTTTCAGATAATGATTGTAGAAGGAAGATAAATCAAAATATGTGTGTAAAAATAAAAAAAAATTAAAATAAAATGTTACCTTGTTTTATAAAGTACCCTCCCGACAAGTATTTCAGTGCCTTCCTGTATTTGATCGTGCGGTCTTGGAGCACCGGCATGCCCTCCCCTGTGAGGTCTTAAGTCACCTGATTCACGAGCCCTTTGTACTACAATAACAAAGGTACGAGGGGTTGGTTGCACTCGATTGGGAAACCGATTCGCATAAATTCGTGATGCCGCGGCAGCATTTTGTAAAGACTCCCCCCCCTGTAAATAAGAATCATGTCCACAAGTTCAGCATTTTCGTAAACACGTGCCATTTTTTATTTCGATTGAGCCACGCAACAAACACCACTATTCACTCACGCGTTACCGACTGACACATTGACTGAATACAACTGAATAAGATTGTAGTGAAAACATCGCGTTTCAAATTCTTTCGCTTTTTTGTTTCCGATGCGATGAACCGATAAGGCGGATTATATCCGTTGTTGCCAAACACGAGCACATAATATTATTATTGAGACAGGGCGGTACTCAAACTTCTAAAGGGCTATAACTTTGTTACTTTAATTTTACCAGAAAAATGGTATACATACAGGGTGACTTCGAAGTTGAGTCATTTATTTTAACAGTGAGTAGATCTGATCAAAAGAAATGATTTTTTCCTTTAACATTTTTCTGGTAAAATTAAAGTAACAAAGTTATAGCCCTTTGGAAGTTTGAGTACCGCCCTGTCTCAATAATAATATTATATGTTCGTGTTTGGCGACAACGGATATAATCCGCCTGACCGGTTCATCGCATCGGAAACAAAAAAGCGAAAGAATTTGAAACGTTTATCACGATGTTTTTCGTCAGTCGATAACGCGTTAGTGAATAGTAGTGTTTGTTGCGTGGCTCAAACGAAATCAAAAATGGCACATGTTTACGAAAATGCTGAACTTGTGGACATGATTCTTATTTACGGGGGGCAGTCTTTACAAAATGCTCCCGGATGCATCACGGATTTATGCGAATCGGTTTCAGAAACGAGTGCAACCAACCCCTCGTGCCTTTGTTAATGTAGTACAAAGGGCTCGTGAATCAGGTGACTTAAGACCTCACAGGTCAGGGCATGCTGCTCCAAGACCGCACGATCAAATACAGGTCCGCACTGAAATACTTGTCGGGACGATACTTTATTAAACAAGGTAACATTTTTTTTTATTTATTTTTTAATTTTTACACACATATTTTGGTTTATCTTCCTTCTACAATCATTATCTGAAAATTAATGACTCAACTTCAAAGTCACCCTGTATATATACAGGGTGACTTCGAAGTTGAGTCATTTATTTTAACAGTGTGTAGATCTGATCAAAAGAAATGTTTTTTTCCTTTACCATTTTTCTGGTAAAATTAAAGTAACAAAGTTATAGCCCTTTGGAAGTTTAAGTACCGCCCTGTCTCAATAATATCATGTGTTCGTGTTTGGCAACAACGGTTCATCGCATCGGAAACAAAAAAGCGAAAGAATTTGGAACGATGTTTTTACGATTACAATTCAGTTCAGTTATACATACAGTCAGTTTCAGTCGCGTGTGGATCGTGTCTGTTGCGTTGCTCAAACGAAATAAAAAATGGCACATGTTTATGCGGATCGGTTTCCCAATCGAGTGCAACCAACCCCTCGTGCCTTTGTTAATGTAGTACAACGGGCTCGTGAATCAGGTGACTTAAGACCTCACAGGGGACCTCACGATCAAATACAGGTCCGCACTGAAATACTTGTCGGGAGGATACTTTATAAAACAAGGTAAAATTTTGTTTTAATTTTTTTTTTTATTTTTACACACATATTTTGGTTTATCTTCCTTCTACAATCATTATCTGAAAATTAATGACTCAACTTCAAAGTCACCCTGTATATATAACAAAAAGTATGAAAATAATGGGCAAAATCCGCAAGAACGGGGATATATATGTATATATATATATACAGGGTACGGCAGAGAGGATGGACGGTTTTAAAAAAATCATAAAATAGTTAATTTTTACTCGAAAACAAATTTATTGATGGAATCAGGTTCACAAGGAAATAGCATTTGAGATAGTCAAGTGTGGAAAATCACATCAGGCATGTGGCCGAAATCGTTGATGCAGTGCTGGAGGCGATCTTGGAAGTTCGCGTAGACTCTCTCCAACATCGCTCTCTCAACTTGGGCGACTTACACGCGAATTTCGCCCTTCAATTCGTCCAGAGTTCGGGGCTTGTTCGCGTATACTCTAGCCTTGAGGTGTCCCCATAAGAAAAAATCGCATATGGATAAATCTGGAGAACGAGGAGGCCAATGAACATCGCCAAACCTGGAAATATGGCGACCAGGGAAGAGAGGGCGAATAACGCCCATGGATGCTCGAGCTGTGTGGGCGGTCGCCCCATCCTGCTGGAACCACACACGTCGGATTGGAACACGTCGCCGTCGTAATTCAGGGAGAAAGAAGTTGGTGATCATGTCGACGTAGCGCTCTGAGTTCACGGTAACATCACGACAATTACCGTCTTCGAAGAAGTAAGGGCCAATGATGCAAGTTTGCGATACAGCGCACCAAACCGTTACTTTTGGGCTGTGTGGCGGTCTTTCGCGTAACTGTTGCGGATTTTCATTAGCCCAATAACGACAATTCTGCTGGTTAACCATGCTGTTTAGGTGAAAGTGGGCTTCGTCACTCATAAACAAAATGAGGTTCTCATTTTGATCGATCAGTGCTTCCATCTCACGTGCGAAGTTTATTCGTTGTGCATAATCTCCGGGCTGTAACTGTTGCACAATGGCCAATTTGTAGGGGTGAAAGCGGAGATCCATATTCAAAATTCGCCTTACCGAACGATCACTAAGGCGAAGTGCAGCAGCATGTTTCCGGGCAGATGGAGTCGGACTGCGAAGAAGACCCGTCGAACGCGTTCAACATTTTCAGGAGTTCGAACTGTTCGCGGCGCTCCTCTTGGTCTTTTGTTGATCAGTTCACCACGCCTGCGAAGTGATTCAACCCAACGAAGGATGGTGTTTCGAGAGGGAACAGCTCTATTCCGATGAATGTTCAAGTGGCGACGAAACTCACGCTGTATGACGATGACTGACTCATTATTTCGGACGAAACAATCATAGGCGAAAACGAGGTGCTCCATAACGACAACTGCTAAAATAATGCTAGGATCTCACGAGTCAAACGGCACCCTCCCCACCTCTCTCGTAGGCGGAGGCGGAGAGTACTACCCATCCCAA